CTGAGGAGGAAACTGGCACTGGGATTTCTTCTGGGTGCTCCTGATGCTGTCACCCACAGCAGAGCCATGTGCCATGAGTTTGCAAAGAGAGGGACTGGGGAATCCTAGTGACCCCCCGGGAGTACCACACTCTCCCCAAAACTCTCCAGTGCCAGTCCTGGCTGCACAAACACCCTGGAAGACATTGCCAAGAATGAAGATGCTTCTAAAAGGAACAACATGAATACATGGGAGGTCTCCAAAACAGCAAAACCCCACCCCAAGCTCCAGCCTGAGGCTTTCCAAGAATGTCCTCAATTTTTTTTTGTCTCTCCCACAGGCTGCTGCTCCTGCTGCCCAGCTGGATGTGCCAAGTGTGCACAGGGCTGTGTCTGCAAGGGGCCCCCCTCCGCCAAGTGCAGCTGCTGCAAATAGGGGACCCCTGGCTGCACATCTGGGGGCGATGCACATCTGGGGGGGCCAAAGAAGAATAACCTTATTGTGTATGTTAGTTGTCTTTTTTTATATTTGTGTTCAGATTTCTTTAGTGTTTGCCACTTTGACATGTAATAAGCTACCTAAATAAAGTGATATGTATATAAAGGTCCATGAGGAACTTGGCCCTTCTGTTGGGTGCAGCAGTTTCCCAGGGGAGTGGGAGGGCAGTGCATGTGGGAGGTCATGGCAAAGAGCCTGTGTCTTATTTTTGCTCCTGTCTTCTAGTCTTGGCTCTGCTCTCCCTACCAGTAGTTCTGACTCTTGTTTTAACACTTTCCCTACACAATAATGGATTTTTCCCCTACCACCACCCTCTTCTTACCCAGGGGCAAATCCCATGCTGTCTCCTCCAACCAGAGATCCTCGGGGCTAATGAGCAGCTCGTTATTACAAGCTTTCACTGTAATAACCACCCCAGCCCTGCCCATTTCCAAGGGGAATATTTCCACGGCAGGTGGGGTGGCAGAGAAACAGGTTTAATTTTCCTCCTGGCAGTTTAGTTGAACTGGCAGGAAGAACCACATTGCTTATGCCCCTGCCACCTCTGCCAGTCTAGCTGGGTGCTCCTGGAGAGCCTCAGGTGACCTGATTCCCCACCATGGGGTGCAGTGCACACTGCACTGGGGTGTGATCCCCACAACAGGGTGCACTGCATGCAGTAGGGTTCAGTGCCTGTGATGGGACGTGATGGCCAAACCAGAGTGTGATGCCCACTGTGGTTTGCAATGCTCATACCAAGATTCCAGTGATGGGATGTGATGGGGTGCAATGCCTGTGATGGGGCAGAATGCCCACAATGGGAGGGGATGCCTATGCCAGGGTGCAAAGCCAGCAATGGGATGTGATGCCCACAATGCCCGTATCAGGGTGTGATGCTCACTCTGCCCGAGCACAGCCATGCTGCTGCCTGTTTGCTGCACCCCAGGTGCCCCGTGCCACCCTGCTGCTTCCCAGGAACATGGCAGGTTCTGTCTGTCCATGCATTCCTCAAATGCAGCTGCTCATAGCCACTTTTTAAATTAAAAACCTTTCCTGACCCACCCAATGGCCACCACCAGGACTCAGCTAGGGATTTGGCACAGCCTACAGCACAGCATCTGTGCCCACAGGCTGCTCAGGGTGCCAATCCCTAGGGGATATCTCTTTGCTCCAGGAGGGCTCCTCCCTCAGGGTATCCCCTTAGATGTCACCATCACCCCACCCTTCTGACAGATGCAAAGGCTGCTAATGAGATTTATCACCAAACATCTGGTTTAACTAGCTAAGCTCATAGAATTGGTCTGGCTTTGCTGGCCCGTGTGGGTTTGCACTGGTTCTGCCCCATGACTCTGTGTTGTACCCATCCCTGTGCCCCATGGCAGTATGATGGAGAGCAGCTGTCAGATCCTGCCCCTGCCATCAGGGGAAGTGGTGGGGGGAGAGTGGGAGGTGGGCACACAGAGGTTCCAGCATCCCAACTCTGAGCCCTGAGACATGTGCTGGGCAGCTGCAGCTCTGCTGCTCACTTTATGACTGCTATAGAATCAGAGTTGGACATGGCACTCCTCTCACGTGGGAACAGACTTGGGTTTAACTACTCCGTGCCCTGGGAAATTGGAATACCAACCATAATACAGAAGACCCCTCCAAGCTCTCCTCTCACCATTGATGTCTGGCACAGCCTTTCAGCAAGCCCTTGGCTCAGGGGATACTCATTCATTCCTCCCTGTTCTGCTTGCAGGATGACCTCACTGTTTAGTGGAAATGCTCAGATTGGGAAATCAGGCTCTCTTCCCATCACAGCTCCGCATAAAGTTCTGTGGGGGTGCTGTGCTGCCTTTTCCTGCTCATAGCGATGTGGGCCCAGGACAATGTGTCCCAGGATTCAGCACAGCCCCTCCATGTATGATATGCAGGATTCCCAGCAACCTGGGAATTCCCCTGCTTTGGCCCTGCACAGTCATCTTTCACCTTTGGAATGGCTCCGTGCAGGGGTGCGTGATCCCATTTTGGGTGGTCGGGGCTCTCTTTTCCTCGACCACGGGTGCAGCAGAACCTGCCCTGCTGGAGGGGGGCCCGCGGGGGCGGCACATTCCCGAAGCACTGTCCGGGAGGGAGACAAGTTAATTCACAGCCCGTGTTTATGTGCAGTGACACCACACGTGCTTGGTTATTCCACCTCTCCTCCTTCCCGCTCAGCCAGTGGCGTGTGCAATGCCTGCTGGCTTCACCTCACTGCTGCTGGCAAACGCTGCCAGGAAAAAAACAACCCCGTGCTCTTGCAAACAAGCACGAGCCGTTCCCTGGCACAACCACCTGGGTCACTGAACCTCTCCTGGTCCTAGAGCCCGCTGGCTCCACTGGAATGGACCCATCTACAGCACCAGCTCTGAACCCAGGCTTGCCCCATCTGCGACACCACAAAGGGCAGGGGGTGCAGGGATGGGGACAGCCTGGCCCTGGTCCATACACTGTTATCCATGCTGGATGTTGAACTGGCCACGGGCACATGCGAGGTAATGGAAGCCCGTTGGCACATAAATCCTGTGACGAGGTGGAAAACTCACGGGGATGAGAAAGTGATTCCCAGCAGCTCCTTGCTGGCAATGCCAAGCTACCACACTGCATCCCCATGTTCACCCAAAGGAAGTGCATGAAACTCTGTCAAGGGATGTTTAGATTGGGTATTAGGAAAATATTCTTTAACCAGAAGGTAGTCGGGCCCTGGAACAGACTCCCCAAGGAAGTGGTCACTGTACCAAGCCAGGCTTAGGAAGTTTTTGGACAACACACTCGGGGACATGGTGTGCTTTTGGAGTTGTCCTGTGCAGGTTCAGGAGCTGTACACGATGATCCTTGTGGATTTCTTCCAGCTCAGGGGGTTCTATGACTCACCCCTCCCGGGAGGCCATCTGAGCACTCTAGCCCCATGGGGACTGCCCAGGACCATCCCACTCTCCGGTGGGGTGCTGAAACAGTCTCATTCATCCTCAGAGACAGCCCCGTGCACCCCACAGCCACCCCTGAGGTGGGGGGCACCGCTGTACCACAGTGCTGGACACATGGGGCAGTGCCACGGGGCTGTCCCAAGCGTGCAGGACCCAGCGGCAGTGCCGTGCCAGCGCTGCTACCCCCACACCCACAGTCCAGCGCCTCGGCGCCCCGGAGCGCAGCACCCTGCCGGGGAGGGGGTGCAGGAGGGACACAGCGGGCTGGGAGCGGGGGCAGGCCCGTGACCCCGGGTCAGCACGGCACGGCACAGCACGGCTCCGCGGCGGGCACAGCCTCGGGGTGGGCACGGCTCCGCGGTGAGCACCGTCCCCCGTCAGCACGGCCCCGGGGTGCGCACTGCCCCGGGGTGAGCACGGCCCCGGGGTGAGCACGGCCCCGGGGTGAGCACGGCATGGTCCGGCCCCCGATGAGCACGGCCCCGGGGTGAGCACGGCACAGCACCGCCCCCGGTGAGCACGGCCCGAGGGCGAGCCCAGCCCCGGGTGAGCACGGCCCCCGGTTAGCACGGCACGGCACCGCCCCCGGTGAGCACGGCCCCGGGGTGAGCACGGCCCCGGGGTGAGCACGGCACGGCACGGCACGGCCCCGGGGTGAGCACGGCCCCGGGGTGAGCACGGCCCCCGGTGAGCACGGCACGGCACGGCACGGCACGGCACCGCCCCCGGTGAGCACGGCCCGGTGCCGCGGCCCCGCCGCACCGTGCGCAGCGCCAGCACCGCCCCGTGTCCTGCCCCATAAATAGCGGGCGACCGGGGCCGGTCTGCACCGCTGTCAGCCCCGCCGGACCGAGCCGAACGGAGCCGAGCTAGATTGAACTGAGCCGAGCCGAGCCGAGCCATGGACCCCCAGGACTGCACGTGTGCCGCCGGTAAGTGTCCCATCGCGTCCCGGCTGATCCCGCCTAACTCCGGCTGCCTGACTCCTGGCTGATCCCGCTCTCCTGCCCTCGCTCTCCAGGTGACTCCTGCTCCTGCGCCGGGTCCTGCAAGTGCAAGAACTGCCGCTGCCGGAGCTGCCGCAAGAGTGAGTGGGGGGCTCAGGGCGGGGAGACCCGGCCTTGTTTTTGGAGGGAGCTGCCACTGCCCTGTGGAACATCCATGGGCACCTCTCTGCTCCATTGGGAGCCTTATGCTGTGAGACTCCCTGGGCACCTCGCTGCTCCTTAGGGAAATCCCTCCTTGCCCTGTGGGACTCCATGGACACCTTCCTGTTCCACAAGGGAGCTCTTTCTTGCCCTGTAGGACCCAATGGGGACCTCCCAACTCTTACCCTGTAGGCAACCCCTCTTGCCTGTCAGACCGTGTATGGAGACCCCATCACTCCCTCTCTTGTCCTGTAGAACCCTCATGGGATCCTTCCCTTTTCCCCGGCCCATTGCAACACACCCCCTCTGGGGGGCTGCCACCACTGTGTAGGACTCTCATGGAGAGCTCCAGCCCACTGGGATCATCAGCCCTGCTCATGCAGAGGAGTTGTTTCCCACTTTCCATCGGGTCCCCCTGCCTCACAGACCCCCAGTCCCTTCCACCTACCTCCTAACTCTTGTGTCCTCCCCAGGTTGCTGCTCCTGCTGCCCCGCAAGCTGCAGCAACTGTGCCAAGGGCTGCGTGTGCAAGGAGCCGACCAGCAGCAAGTGCAGCTGCTGCCACTGAGCCGCTCACCTCTGCCTGTAAATAGTCGGCACGCTTTAGGGATGGGGGGTGGGGGGCACAAAAAAGCCTTGTTTTTGTTTTTGTTTTTCTTGTTTTGTATTTTCTGTACCAGTGGTGAAACTGGATGGAAATAAAGGAGTTTTTCTGGAGGTACGAGTGCTGCTGTGGGGATGGGTTGGAGGCTGAGCATTTTTGCCGCTTGGGACACCTGTATGGGAATTGTCGAATTGTCGCTGCAGGGTGGGAGAGGGCTGCTCAGAAACACTCCTGTGTCCTTCCCTAAGTGGGCTCTGCACCTTCCTTGAGGGAGGAAAGGAGCTTCACAGGGGTGGATCTTATCCTACATGTGGGGCTGATGTGGGCATCTTTGAGGTGCTGGTCTCCCAGGGAGGACAGGTGACACACCCAGAGGTGTGGGCAAACAGTGGAAGGAGGGTCTCTAGTCCCCTCCAGCCTTTCCTTGGCTACATGGCAGGTGCCTCTGCACTATGTTAGGGGCTTCCTTTGGGTGAAAGATTTTGTAGGAGCAAGTGTGGTGGGTGGGAGGGTGATCTGTGCTGGCAAGATGCCTGCCCTGAGCTGCTGCTGGAGAGCATTTGGACAAATTCTAGTGGGGACAAAGCTTCCCTCCTCAAAAGCTTTGCAAGCCCCAATCCATTGCAGAGCAGATCCATCCCCAAAAGGACACTTTCCCTGCAGTCTCCCCATGCCGAACACCTACAGCTACAGTGCTTGGCTCCTGCTGTAGGCAAAACTTCCGAGCACTTTTTTCCAGCTCGTTCTTGGGAAGCACCTTGCTTAAAGCTGCGAAGTCTTCCAGATGCAGGAGGGCAGGTAACAATAGCTGTGAATGCAGTGCTTAGCTGCCTGGATTTCGGGTGGCTGCTGGAATGGGGGAGGGGGGGCGGTGGGAAGATGCATACTAAGTGTTTTGCTTCCGAAAGTCTCTGCCAAATGGAGCAGTCACTTTTAAGGCAGATGCCTGCCCATACATGTCTCCTGGGTGTGCCCCACCATAGATGTAAGTTCCCAGCCATGCTGCCCTCACCCATTTTGTGTCTCTTCAGGCAATAGGACAGTTCTGCCTGGCACGAAAATCTCCTGCAGCACTTGGTGACAAGGCACCACGGACAAGATAAATTTAAAACCCAGGAAAATTTGTCCCTTGGGTACCCACATAGTCCTATCTGTTAGGCTGGGTGACACAAGGTGGGGTGTCTGCACAGTGGGAGCATGGCAATACCAGTTCCCAGGGATGTTTCAGGCATCCAGGATGATCCAGGCTCACCCTTTCCCCAAAGTCTGCCCAGCTTCAGCACATGGCTCCTCAGACCACTCAGCACCCAACTTGGCCAGTGAGAAAAGCAGCACTTAGCTCAGCACCCATTTGCCTTTTAAATGTGTTGCCTTATTGCATCAGTGTGTCTTTGCCTCAGCAGCCTCCCAGCACTGCTTGTTGCAACAGAGGTGTAGTGATGGAAATGGGTTTTAAGGGTCTGCCCTGCCCTAAATATTTAAAAACAATCCCATGGGAAGACGCTTTGCTGGAAAAGAAGACTGGCATGGCTCTGCTGCTGGAGCCATATGAAACAGGGCTGCGACCCCGGCCACTGTAGCGGAGGGGCTGCAGACTGAGCCCCCGGGGCAGGCGCCCGCATCCTGCACCAGAAACAAAGCCGGGCGCGGATGGGGTTTCCCCGCACAGGAAGCGCCCCAGGCATCAACCGCTCCCCGGTTCCCAGCAGCGTGCCAGGGTAGGATGTGGGCACACATTTCTGCACCTTGCCGCTGCCAGCCTGCCCTGCCTGCTCCTGGTTCTGCCTGCGCGCCCGTCTGGCAGAGACCCCCAGCCTTGGTGCCTTTTCCAGCCTCCCCAGGATGGATTTGGGGCAAGGAAAGCCACAGGACCAGTGGAATGAGCTGGTCAGGGATGTATCCAGTGCCTGCCCTTGCCTGTAGCTGCTCCCAGTGAGGTGGGTGAGGGCTTTCTGGTCCCCTCAAGAGTATTTTCTATTAAAAAAAAAAAAAAAAAAAAGTACTTGTTGATGAAGCAGGAAGTGCTCTCAGCCTCTGGACAGCTCTGTATAGTGGGAGGGTGAGGGGAGCCTTTCTTGATCCACGAAGACGCTGATGTACTTTATTGAGCCCCGCCAAAAAAAGTCCAGCTCAGTCTGCTGAGGTGGTTTGAGGTGACCACGATCCCTTCTGGGCACCCACGGGAGCCAGGGCAAGGGGGTCCTGGGTGCACTCCCAGACGAACAGCCCTGCAGCTGCCCATGGGACCGCATTCAGTTCCGCTTTTTCTAGCTGTGTGTGAATCCCAGGGGGGTGATGGGTGTCCGTGACCCTGCGTGGCGCTGAGACGCACCGTGTGCAGGAGGGACACGTGCCCTGTGCAGAAGGGATGTGCGCTCTGTGCAGAGGAGCGATGCACTGTGTGCAGAGCAGATGAGCACCCTGCGCACGCATGACAGGAACCTCTGTGCCGCGGGGACATCGCCCTGTGCCGAGGGGACAAGCGCTGTGCGCAGCGGGGACATGCACCCAGCGCACAGAGCAAACACACCTGGCGCAGAGGCGACAGGCACGTGTGCACAGGGGAAATAACACCCTGCCCTCAGGGCAGAGGGAAAATGCACCCAGTGCGAGAGGAAAATACAGTCATAGAATTGTTGGAAAGGTTGGAAAACCCCTCTAAGGTCATCAAGTCCAGCTGCTACCCCAGCGCTGCCAAGCCCACCCCTAAGCCAAGTGACACATCTACATTGTTTTTTTAAATCGCTCCAGGGGTGGTGACTCCACTACTTTCCTGGGCAGCCTGTTCCAGCGCTTGACAGCACTTTCACTGATGTGTTTTGACTAATATCCTGTTTAAAACCCCTGGCACAGAGATGAGATGCTATGCTCATAGGATGGGCACCCAGGATGGAGGGTACACGCATCTGATGTAGAGGGGACAGCACCCTGCGCATCCTGGGCAAGGGAAAGGCGCCCTGTGCGCCCAGTGTAGAGGGACGGGCACCCACAGAGGGGGCAGCACCCCTTGCCCCCCGTGCAGAGGACCCGGGTCCCTCCCCAGGGACGGCTCTCCCGAGCGGCTCCGCTCCGGGCGCCACCGAGCCCTTCCGCAGGGATCTGCTGCCACCTGCCTGCCCGCAGCCCCGCCGCCGCCCCGGCTCCCTGCCGGTCCCCGCCTCCCTCGGTCCCTGCCTCTGTCTCTCCTTTCCCGGCCCCTCCGGACGGCTGTTCCCCCGTCCCGCCCCGGAGGGCACCAGCGCCGGTCTCCGGGCGGACCAGGACTCTCCTCGCTCTGGAAAGATGCCCGGGAGCCTGGAAGGGCTCAGGGAGAGCTGAGGTGGCACAGCCACCCTACCAGGGCGCCTATCCCATCAGTACACCCATCACACCAGGACAACCATCCCACCAAGGCATCTTTCCTACCAGAGCATCCATTCCACCAGGGCATCCTCTCGGGGACAAGTGCTCTCCTCAAACTGAAGTGACGGGCAGAAATGTACCCTGACCCCCTGCACGCACTTGGCAATTAGGAGGAGTAGTTACAGCCGGTGCCAGAGCTGCCTCTGGCCTGCTGGGAATTTCTTTTTACATGGGAAAATTTGGAAATAGAGACAGTGTTAATGGGGAAATCTGTTCAGCTTTGAAGGTTTGATGGGTGATGTTTCAGAACAGCAGCAAAATCCAGGCTGTCTCTTACACAAGCAGGCTGTCGCCTTGTGGGTCCATGAAATTCCCAGTTCCCAGATTTTGCCCAACAAATCCTGTGTCATTGGCAATATCTGTTTTAGGGCCATCATGTGTATGTCCAAGATGGGACCAAACACAGCGAATCCCTATACATCCTCAGGGCACCATTATACAGGTGGTGGTGTGAGTACCTGCTGGCTGCGAGTTTGTTTGCTGGTGTATTTGGCCATGGGAGGCAAAATGGGGATGAATTCGTTATCCTCGTTTTACCTCCCACAGAATCAGCTCACAGAATCAGCTCACAGACAGGGTTTGCCAGCAAGAGTCAGCGCTTACTAAGAAGGAAAAGGGGGAATAGAGAAACAGTCCCAGAGGAACCTTCTGTTATTTCTGTCTGTATATCTCTTATTTCACTGATTTCGGCGCGGCGGACACAGCGCGAGGAGGCGGAAGGCAGCCTCGAACCCGCGGTGTCCGGAGGCAGCCGCCCCCCCATTCGGTCCGCGCCCCCTCCGAGCGCCTCAATCAAGTTGTTCTCGCGAGGGAGCGGGAACGGGCGCGCTGCGGAGAGCGGCGGCTGGGCCAATAGGAGCACGGGAAGCCGGGACGCCCGGCGGCTCGGCCAATGGGAGCGCGGGAAAGGGCGAGCGGGCAGCCAATGGAGGCGCGCGGCGCGGGCGCGGCGGGCGGCGCGGAGCGCGGCGAGGTGAGGGCGCCGCGCGGGCGGGCCGGGGTTCGGCGTCCTCCGCTTCTCTCCCCCGCTTCTTCCCCGCCTGCGGTGCTCGCTGCCTGCTTCCCCCGCACCCGCAGCTCCCGGCTGCTGCCCCCCGCCCATGGCTTCCTCTCCGGCCCGTGCAGGCCGGTGCTGCGGCGGGAGGCTGGCTGGGAGCGCTCCAGGCCTGCTCGCGGGCCGTGCCGGGGCTCCCCGGGGTCGCTGCCGTCAGTAACCCGCGCTGAGGCAGCGGGGCCGCTGTGGATGCGCGAGGAGGGCTCTGTTCTTCCGAGCTTTTGTGCGGGTCGGCAGTGCCAAGCCCGGCTGTAGAAGGGTGGTTTGGTGTTTAACCCAAGTGCAGCGTTGGTGCTTAAGGGAGCAGAAGTTGGTTGTCTGGGAAGGTTTCCGGAGAACGGGTTTGTGTATGATGTGTGTGGTTTGGTGTCTGTTTCGAGTTCTGTGCGTGGGGCTTGTTCTCTCCCACCCAGTGGGTTTGCAGGTTGATTTCCTAGGAATTCTTAAAGGGTTTGGAAGGGACTTCAAAGCTTATATAGTTCCACCTCCCGCTACCATGGGCAGAGACACTTTCTGCTGGACCAGGCTGGTCAAGGCATTATCCAACCTGGCATGATGAACACTGGCAGAGGTGGGACAGTCCCAGGGCAACGTGTGCCAGTGCCTCACCACCCTCACAGTAAAGAATGTCTTCCTAAATTTCCCCTCTTTTAATGTTTATTAGTCCTTGTCCATCACTACAGTTCTGACAAAGAGTCCCTCTCTGGTTTTGCTGTAGGACCCCTTCAGATACTGGAAGAGTTTATGAACAGTGAGTGGAAGGGCTTGAATTAAAGTCCAGGTGCAAAGAAGGGCTGCTTCTCTTCTCCTGCAATTTGGTCATGTTGGTCTGGGAACAGTAGTTATGGCATGGAGAGTTAAGATGATAGTGAGAAAGAAATACCAGTTCCTATATGCTTTAGTGCTATTTCAGTTATGTTGTGTCATAAAAAATTTTCCTACTCCTTGGGGAAACTGACAGAAAAAGCTTAAAATTGCTTGGAGGAAAGCATGGGATTCTGTCATCTAAATCCATAAAGTTTCTGTGGTGCAGAAATTCAGGAAATTCAATGACAGGAAGTTCATTGAGGGGAGGATATGGGTTTTCATTTAAGGAGTTCAAAATCCTGAATGCTCTGTCTAATGAGGATCAGTTTGCCACCCTGTGCAAGTTCCTGCTGAGTTGGGTGCTTAAAATAAAGGCTAAGTGTTTGGAAAAGAGGGAACGTGGTAATATAGCAAAACTGCCAGCTGAGTCAGTTATTCAGGGCAATGGGAACTTGAGACCTTTATGAGGAATTGATGGCAGATGAAAGGGTGTTGACAAATGTGTGCTAGTGTGTTTTGGTAGAAATCACTTCAAATGCCTACTCTTTAGGTCCACTTTAAATAATGAACACTGTAGAGAAGCATTGTGTGCCCTTCCTTGTCCTTTCTTACAGTGCAAGTGCAAGTAACCCAGTGTAACTGCCTTTAAAACTTTGAAAAAAAAATTTTTGTTCAACATACCTACTGTAAGGGTTCTCTGGGACCATAAGAAGATTGGACTTTTGCATATCTACCTACAAATGAGATGAAGAAGAAAATATGCAGGACTGAAAGCCTTTTTATAGGAGTCAGAGAAGCATTAATGGATCAGTGGTAGAAGAAACAATAGTATTGTTTCAAAGGTTGTTGTGTGATCTATTCAGGATTTTCCTGCATCTGCCTTTTGTTGCAGGGGGAAGAGGCTGTTGTACCAGATGGGGTGCCAAATAAAGCTTGAAGCTTTTAGATATTTTTAAAGTGGCCTATTGTGATTTATCTGGGTTTAGTGTAGTTAGGGTATGGAAGCTTTCCCTCTGTTAGGTTTGATAATCATTATTGTGTTTTATGGACAAGAGGATGGTGTGCTGAAAATGTGCAGCAGATTTGGGTTGTACAATTGTCCACCTGCTCTTTGATTATCATCTCAGTGTTTCTTAATCACTTCCTCTGTCTGTAACATGGAGATTATGTTGCTGACTTCTCTGAAATGTCTGGATGTCTGCTTATGCCACGTGCCATGCAAGAGCTGGGTATTATTGCTGCTGCTCAGACAGAATTCCCCAGGCCTGCAGAATGGACCTTTTACTTATTCATGTTTAGCTTAATAGACAGAAGCTGCTCCATTCTCTGTAGCATCCCAGGCTTGGAGCCTGTTGAAAAAGCACTTTTCACCTCAGATATTGGCTGTAGGAAGCAGAACACTGCTGGCTTGGTCTTACTACTTGTGCTCTTGTGTTTTCTTTCCACAAGAAGCTGATCCTGACTCATCAGACTGGGTCTCTTGAGCACTTTGAGGGTGGAGCCTCTTTGAGAAGCCAACACTGGATTTTTTCCTTTTTCTTTCCCATTTTGAATAATCTTTCTGCAACTTGTGGAGCTCTTGCTTTGTCAGCACTCTGAATGTAGTGAGTGAGGTTTTCCTTCTCCTGTGACATCTTCCTTTCTTTTTCCTAGAGCACTGGGAAAACCTAATTTTTTTACTGTTTCTCAAAGTTAATTGGTTAGTTGACACAAATCCTGTCAATGTGTGAAGTACAGTGAACACTTAGACGTGCACTGGAGTATTTCAGCTTTTGTATTTCTGAATCAAGTACAGTAAAATGTTCATCGTGGCTGTATTTGGAGTAGAATAGCTAGAGTTTTCTTCCTAAGATAGCACTGTAGTGCTCTTGAGGAGTTTTTAGGTAAGAAATAATCAACTATAATCAGTCTGAATAGACTTAAGAAACCTGTCATCTGTTCTGTTTTCTTTGTGGCTTAAGCTTAGTGAGTTTGTACAATATATAGTGCTTAAGTGTGGCTTTAAATGTTCAGGAAATTAAACTGGGCTTTAATGGAATCGTGGTCTAATGCAGCAACTTCTATTGATACGTCATCAAAGTTGTTTTACAGAAGAGCTCTTTCAGTCCTGGCTTTTTGCCCAAGGTCAATCTGGTTTCACTGAAGTTAATTTAATTTCTGAAGTATTTTCTTTCTGTTAGACGTTGGTTGTTGCTCCTTCCCCAGCCAGACATGAAAATCTGCTGTTGCTGTGGAAGCAGTTTCCATCTTGCACAGCAGCATGAAGAGTCAGACTGCAGACTTGAAATGCAGTAAATTCTGTCAGGGTGGAGACAAAGTTGTTTGCACTATTACGAATATATGAATCTTCAGTCTAAATGTTTGAATTCTGTCACTTATAAAAAGCTGTTTAGTGTTGACTCTCTGAGTTTGAGATGTTGCTTCCAGTGCTTGGTTATGATCACAGGTACTTTAACTTGCTCCAAAATAACCAGTTTGTTCCGTATTTGCTGAATTGGGTTCAGTCTCACAGAGTTGTTGCAGTTGTACTATGCAGGCAAACTTATGTGACAGACCTTACATGGTATTAACAGGGTGTCTGCAGGTAAAATGTGCAGGTTGAGTGCAGTTCTGTAGGACTGACTTTTCGTGCTTTTGGTTTCAGCAGTCTGAGAAGTTGGTGCTTCTTACACTCCCAGCTTTTTATCTTGCTAATGAAAAGAGGAAGTGGACCAGATCGGAGCAAATCAAGCTGATGTCTGTGTTGTTCTTGTCGTTGCTGCTGGTGGATGTTCTCATCTTTGAATGTACAGGAGTGTGTCTGTTCTAGTCAGTGTCTGCCAGGAGGCTGTGCCTGGCAGGGGTGCATCTGAGTTATTGCTAGTAAACACTGGGAAGTTGTTCTGTACTGCATTGCAGGGCATGAAGCTGCTTATTTCCACCCTCCTCCTCCCTGTTCCACTCCATCTCTGTGGCACACTAATCCGTTCAAACAGATCCGGTCTCTGCTATCTCACCTGATTAACAAGTCATTGCAAATACAATCATTCCCTCCCCCAGCTTCCTGAAGTGTGTGGGGAGTGCTCCTGAAATTCTCCATTCCTGGATGCTGTTGTTAGGGTTTGTCCTGGCACCCAGGCAGGAGGATTTCTCTCTCAAACTGCTTATGTCTGAATGAATCATCATGCAGTGCTTTTAAATCATTTGTCCAGACAGAGGCAAGTGCCGCTACTGCTGCTCATAGTAGTACTTGGGAGTGGTGGTGAGACTGAAAACGTGAGGAATGTTCAAATTCTACTGTAAAATTGCTTTGGTATGGTTGAGGAGTACAAAAAATACTTGAATTGCAGGCTATTGATGATTTGTAAAAATCCCTGTTTTCTTCTTAGGGTGCTTCCTTGAACCAGATAGTCTTCACTGATTTGACTTTTGAGTAAATGATAAACAGTTGGAGTTAATGCTTGAGATCTGGTTTCTCTTATGTTTTCCCTGGCCCTCTGGGTTTGAGTGCAAAAGCTATGAGAGAGGGACTGTACTTAAGATTTCCATCTCTGTAGCACCGTTCAGCACCACGGATTTCTGTGATCTGTGGCTTTATAGAGGTGCCTGATGCTTATTGCTTGTAGCTGGTTTAGCTACAAACTGTGATTTGATGTATGAAATTGAGGTCTTGGGTTTCATATTTTGTTAATGTGGACACCACTGTAGCTACATGTCTTTTTCCATAGTGATCCCAAGCACGTATGCTTTCATCCTTTTTCTAAAAATAACAGGCTTCATTCTGAATTTGAAACTGCATGATGCATTTAATACATCTTCTCTTACAGCCCTTGCTTTGTGCTTTAACTTTTTAAATTATTCTGTCACTGAGTCAGTGCAAGGAATTCTCGCATTGGTGAAACTTCCTGCAGGCATTGAATTTAGACACAGGTCTTCTAAACTGGAAGAACATGAACTTATGTCTTTTGGCTGGGGGTTAATGACATATGGAGCAACACATTTTAGCAGCTAGCTAGTTATGGCTGTCTGTGTGCATCTGTAGTTCGACTGTTTTGCTACTAATTTAACTTCATGTTTATGTGTGTTTTCAGTCCACATGTATTCCTCTGCTTGCACATGTATGCATCTTTTTTCATAGTAGATAAGAATATAGTATCATAGGATGGGAAGGAACCCATAAGGATCACGGAGTCCAGCGCTCCCAGCAATCTATTTATGCGTGTATGCAAGTAGTTTATAGCTAAATTAACACCAAATTCTTCACAGGGACTTCTCTGCTTTCATCCTCCTTTGTTCTAAGGCAAAATATGAACTATGATATGACATCTGCATCCCACTTCTGACAGGTCCATAGACTGTAGTCTTGCTTGAAAGCTCTCCGAGACCGCTTGTAAAGATTTCCTTGATGTTTAATGCCTCGGGAGGATAGACAGTATATCCTGTTCTAGAAGACCTGCTCTTGCTGGTCTGCCTGTGACCCCACAAGCATAGAAACTGTTTATAGCTGAGCAAGAATTCCCTTTTTCCCTGAAGGTTTCTGTGTGTCTCGAGTGAAACCTGCAGCAGAGATGGACACGGATGGCTTTGGAGAGCTGCTGCAGCAGGCTGAGCAGCTGGCGGCTGAGACAGAGGGGATCTCGGAGCTCCCGCACGTGGAGCGCAACCTGCAGGAGATCCAGCAGGCCGGGGAGCGCCTGCGCTCCCGCACCCTGACCCGCACCTCCCAGGAGACTGCCGATGTCAAGGCGTGAGTACCGACCCTGGGACTCTGCACTCGGGGTGGGAGCTGTCTATGGGTTTGGTTTCCAGCGTGGGGGGAGTCCTGCTGGGAGAAACAGAATGACTGCAAAGCTGGTTTTTAGAATGACCAAGCTTTTAGCAAAGCTTGTGTTTTGTTTTTTTTTTTTTTCTTCCAACCTTTCTCCTACTTCCAGAAAACAACAGGATAGTTGAAGGGTTTATCTGAGGAGCTGCTGTTTTTGATTTTGGACACTAAAGCTGGAAAGTGCAGTACCTTGTTCTGTCTGCTGCTGAAGATGTTTACCAACACAGTGTATGTTTTTTTTCTGTTTGGAAGGACTTGGCAGCTGTGCAGCACTGCAGTGGAACAGCAGAAAGAGTTCAGCAGGGCTGAGGTGTTTACATAGACACGTAGGGCTGTTCGGGGTTTGATTCTGTGCAGTTTTTGTAACACATTTGGGAGTACTGTCTGTATGTGGCTAGCTGCTGACTTAAATATTGACAATGACTCTGCATTTAGAATTCTGTCTGTTCAATACTAATTTAATATCTGTACAATTTATTCCTTATAGATCGGTTCTTCTTGGGTCTAGAGGGCTTGATATATCCCACATTTCTCAGAGACTTGAGAGTCTAAGTGCAGCCACTACATTTGAGCCTCTTGAACCTGTGAAGGACACTGACATCCAGGTAGGGAAATTTCTGACATGTCAATTACATTGCCCTTGCCACTGCTGTTCATGTGTTGTGGTTCAGAGCTGTCCTAAGGCTTCTGTGGAGATTGTCTTGCTCTCTGTTTAATTCATTGGCTAGAGGAAGTGAAGAGGGGAGATGCTGCTTTCAATGCTGAAGGATGTTTGAGTTAGCCATGAGAAGCAGCATTAAGTACCAAGATAACAGAAGTATTTTAAGTTCCAAATTCTTGCTGAAGTCAAGAGGAACTAGGTGCATACTTACTCCCTTTGTGGACCTGTGTTTGTTGGCCTTGCAAGCTGAAATTGTGCAAGGATACTTCTCTCATAGTTTTGAAACCTTTTTTACATCTGATTGGAAAAACACACATGGAACCACTTTTGAGGCAATTTTGAGGTGTTGGAATAGGGGGCATTTAAGTCAACAATCAAAAAAGGTGAGTATAGGTTTTTTCTTTCACTGTATCACAGATGTCATAACCTTGTCTTGGTGATAGACTGAATTTGCTGTGGTTCAAATGCTTTACCAGGTGATTTTATCTTGTAAAGTTTCCTGTACATTTTCTCTGGGTGTCTTAGAATTTATTGTAACTCATCTAGTTTTGCTTTCTGATCATTGCCTGCCCTTGTAGAATATCTTCATGATGAAACCTGCAATATTCATTATTCAGTTAAGAACTGGTAGTGGAATTGATGTTGTGGGTTGCATTGAAGGTAACAGTCTGAATTACTGGTTGATTACTTTGAAGCTCATCTTTTCTTTCTGGCAGGTGGCTCACTTATGAGAGTCAGAAGAGTTGTAAGCTCCTCTTTCTTTTTTTTGCAGAAGTAGTATGCTCAGCTAAACTTCAGGAGGGGAAGGGAGGCATGTGAAATTACCCCATTTTATCTAATGTATGTTTTAGTTTCACTTTTAGCGTCATCCATTTTGGGTGCAAGGCCCTTAGTTGAATCTCATGCTAGTGTGTTAGGAGCTCTGTGGTCTCCTGTCTTCAGGCAGACTTACTTAATCCCAGTTTTCTAAGACCTCTCTTTCACTAAAGATAAGTAGTCTCTCGAGACTATATATTGCCTGATCATAGAGTGAGAGCTCTAAACCACTGGCATTGTTCACTTTCTGTCTTTTCTCATTTTATCCCTTTGCCCCAATTTCTGATGTTGTTGTCTTTCTAATTGGTGATGTTACACTTGGTACATGTCTTTCTTGACCTCATTCTGTCTAGATTTTTTCCAACCACTCTTGCCTCTTTTTCGTTTTTCCTTCTTGGTTTGGATTTTTTTTAGGTTTACTGTTGCTGTTAATTCTTTGTTTTCTACAGTTTTTCCTTTCTGTTTTAAGAAGAATTTATTGTAGATTCTCAAGCCCAGAAGTGGTAGCGTGCTTGACTCTTTGGAGCTGAGATCTGTGGGAAAATTTATGATGGCATAATAATCATATTTTCTATTATTGCTGGTTACCTAACTAAAATATTATTTTATTCTTTCTTAATTATACCAGACCTCAAGGCCTTATTTGAAATGGTGATTCTGGTAGTGATCTTTGTATGTTTTCTTATCTCTAGTACCTTTGTTTTAGTCGCCCTTGTCAATATTTGAATGTATCCTTCTGTTCAGGAAAAGCTCTAAATTTAACATAAAACCAGTGGTTAATTGCAAATCATTGTGTTTAGATGGCCAGATCAGCCAATGCAATTCAGCCCTTTCTTCAGAAAAACAGCTAAAAAGTACAAATGAGAAACAGGATTAAAATCAATTATTTAAATCGAAGTTCTGTCTTTGCTGTGTTGAATCATGATTAACACTAGTGATTTAATCACTGATTACTTCAACAACTCATCTCTGAGGCCTAATACTTGTGTGCTTTGAATCTTACATTTTTTATGCAGGCCATGTGCAGAAAACATTCATAGTCAATTAGCTAAAAGTGATTTGCAGGGGGAAGGATGGCAAGGGGCTCCACTTCAGATCATCTTGGAGGCACATTAGCCAAGTGTCAGTTTTAAATTATTTGTTCCTACTTGTTTTTGTATTTAATGGGTGCAGGGATTTATGTCTTGCAGAACATCATTCTCTGTTCTGAGGATATTTGCAGTCACGTCTCAACCTGGTGTCAACTGTGGTCTGTACCTGAAAGTTACCTGCTTAGAATATGGACAAGTCTCTGTACCTATCTGTAGGTTCTGGTATGCAGCCATCAGTTCTTTTAGAATAGTTTTTGTTAATTATTTAAGAGGACCTTTGTGTTACACACTGCTGATAGTCCTCTAATTACATCTGTTAATCAAGGAGGTCTTGAAATTTTTTGATGCTTGAGATAACAATGTGCTACAGAAGTTTCTTTTTCTAAGTTACTTTTTCTTATACCTCCTGATGATTTAGGATTTATTTTTCTTGTTCCTAGATAGTTTCTTAAGCCTTCTTCAGATGTGTTGTGTTTGTTTTGGGACAGATGAAGCTATCTCTGCACTGTGTAGAATCCTTGCTCTATAAGCTGTTCCCATTGTATCTGGTAGGTAGTGTGCAGAGTGATATATGGGAGGGGTCTGCTTTATTTCTTTACAGGACTTTACTGTTCTTCTGCTGTTACTCGGTATTTACACAGGTATACTGGTAAACTTTAATTCTGTGGATTGGGAAGGCCTGTTCTGTTCTGCATCAAGCCCTCAGCCTGTGCCTTCTGGCATTATCATTACTCTTTTTAACCAGCAAAAACTTCTTCACATATTCGTAATGAACTTGGTCCACACTTTATCATCAACTGTCCTTTCTCAGACCTGTCTTTTCCTGATGCTCGACACAGATTCACAGCCTTGTGTAGTTTGCAGCAAGTTTATTTAGCCTGAAATTCCATCTGAAAATTAATTGTCATTTGTAGATTCTTTAGCACTTCAATTATTCTTGTTGGTGTGGTTCCTCATATCTGTCCTTTAATCTTCAGTTTGAGCACATATCAATTCATAAATACTTTGCAGCATTATTTGCCAAAGAGATTTTTTGGGGGTAAGCACCTGAGACTGCAGGTCTGTGCCCTCTTCCCTCTGAAGAGGTGGTGGGGCTGCATTGGTGCAGCCTCTGTGCACCACTGCACAGGAAAAGGGGGTGGATATGGGCACTTGTGCCAGAGGCACAGACCTAATGCATAGCCTTTGTTGACTGTTGCAGTTGTATGAAAGCTACAAATATAATTAAATCTTCATTGTATGAATTTTAGGGTTCTGCTGACTTCTAAATTTTAACCAATCTCTTACAGCATGAAAATACTCTTGTAGACTTTCTGCCATGTGTTCCCACGTCACTCCTTTGCATCTAGAAATTTCTCTGGCAGTTTGCTTGAGCTTTCCCTGTATTCTTACCTCAAGCATTTATTTACTGTCTCTGTTCCTACTTCTGTTGCAGTCTGTTCTAGCAGCCTGTGGGAGGCCAGCACAGAGAATCTAATATCTCAAATTATGGCAGTCAGCACTGCAGAAGGAGAATGCTAGGAAATACCCTATTTCTTACGTAGAGAGTAAAACAGGAAGAAAAATCAGAAGGGAGCATCCTAGGGCATGAGGTCCCAGGATGCTGGTGCAAGACATTCAAAAAGTGTTAAGAGAATCTAGGAATTCACCTTAATACATGTCTCAGCCTGGTTTAACAAGCAGGAGGGACTTTCTGTACAGAACGTCTTTAAATGCTCCTCTATATTGCTGACTAAAAAGTGCACCAAATTGCAGTTCAATTAATTATCTGAATTATTTATCAGTTGTAAAATGTAGATTGCTTGCACATAAAAGGGTTGTGAGTCCAGGAAATGTCTCCCACTAGAGCAGTAGGCCGGGAAGATTATGCAAAAGATTCTAGGCTTGGCATTAAATTATAAGAATTTGTATTTTTCCTCTCTCATTTCAAAGTTTATGTTATTAAATTGCATGCAGAACAACAAGCACTTCTTGCAGTAAATCCATTTTACAATAATTCTTATGTCAGGAGTTTAAAGATCGAGATTTTTCTATATTGTCAAAATGCCCTATTTTGACAAAATCTTTTCAAATCTGAATGTATTAGTAAAGTGCTTCTTGATATGATATTTAGCATGTATTTATGTGCTTGGGTCTTTTTGTTTGTTTCTTTTTGGCTTTTAAAAATCCAAGGTAGGGCTTGATCATGCAAATCTGTATCCCAAAGATGGGGTATGGAAATATAAACATAACCTTGTCATTCTGTTCAGAAAAGGTATTTCTTCACTCTTTCAAAGATGCAAACTATGTCCCCTTCTAGTGAGCACTGTCATAGCAGATCCTCTCTCAGGTTGCAGTAAAGGCAGCCAGAGGAAGAATTATTCCAAGACTGTGGGTAGGCTGTGCTATTGTAATGTGTGAGGTGGGACCTGGCCCCTGCACTTGTGCTGTTTTCTGTATGTGTGGAGGTCAGAGAGAGATTCAGTGCTGCTCTTTCAGACTGATTTTTGGGATACCAGGTAGGAGTTAGTTGTTAGATCAAGGCCTGATTTCTTCCTGCTAAGATGATTTGACTGTTATGCTTTACTGTGGGCTTTGTATTTTGAACATGTCACTGGGCTTGATACTAGATTTCGTGCCCTCTATGCTTGTTTTGAAAAATAAAACCCCAGAGTCATGGTGTTAATTTAAATAAAATGGTTTTGCTCTCATTTTTCTGGCTCAATCCAGCTCTGTGCAGATTTGTGAAATGAATGTTAGAAGGAGACACAAGCTCTCCTCACATGCATTGCTTATCTGCTTAGAAAGTTTGAGGTGAAGGCCTAGCTCCATTACACTGAAGGAAAATTTTGTTGAATTATCTCATTTGTGCAAGTTTCACCTTGGCCTTCTGGCCTAGGCAGAATTGAAATGGAAGGTTGCATGCTAGGGTTTGGTTTTGATTTCTGGGTGTGGATATTCAGAGTATTGACTGAGTAGCTCTCTGGAGGCCCAGATACAAAAATAAGAGCTTTTATCTAAATGAGGGCAGAGGGTTAAACTGAAATCTCTCCAAGTG